ACACACACACACACACACACACACACACACACACACACACACACACAACCGATTCTACTTGGCCCGCTGAAGCTCACCCAAGATTGCAAGTACAGGCCCTTCAGGGCCGGTCCGGTTGGCCCAACGGTGCACCACAAATTGCCGTAACAATTTTCGGGGGTCCACCAGGCACTGGAAATTCACCTGGGGACCCCAAATTTTTTTTCCGAATTTTCTCGAAATGGGGCCCAACCGGACCCCTCAAACCGGACACAGGATCCGGACATCCAGACCGGACCGTCTGGATCCCGATCCAGACGTCCGGTTGACAACCACGGAAGAGACTGACAAACCAGAAAGACAGAAAACAGTGTCTTCTTCTTCTTTGTTTTACTGTATTCTTACTTTTTTACACTGAACAAAATATCAAAAACCAAAGAAACATTGAAATCATTCAATTTCTCTGCCTTCTTAACTCCCTCCACTGCGCCTCTCACGTACAAGGCTCGCCACGTTGATGAAGTTGAGTGCGAGCTGCCACCATATATCCCATGTAGTGGGTATAGTTACAGCCCACCTAAGGTTAGCTAAACCCGGGTGGCAGCCCCTATGCCCATCTCACCTCTTCGTATTGCACTCTTTCGTGCAATCCTCAATCATTAATAAAGCCTACAGGTTGGCTTGCTTTTGCTGAACTGACACTGTTGGTCTGTTGGTGCAAGGCTGTGAGCACTAGTATCACACTGGATCACACTGGGTCAGGACACACTCACCGGGGGATGCAGAGTCATACATGAACCAACATGATGTTGGCTCACTGCTAATGGTGAATACCATACGAACAGGACGGCGGCCGGATCAGTTCCCGAACTGGCCGCCGGGCCTAAGACCCTGCCTTTCTGTGCACCTCTTCATCTCTTCTCTTACCAAAAAATGAAAAATTTCAAAAAAACGTTACTTTTAAACAAATGATTTCAACACAAAGGATTAATCAGAAGATTCTCGATAAGTTTCCTACTACTGGCATGGTAGGCGTAGTTCCAGGCAACATAGGTCAGGGAATCCTTGGTAGATTTCCTGTTGACACTACATTAGACACGGTGGATCAGGGAATTCTTGGGAGATTTCCTGTCGACACTACTTTAGGTATAGTTTCTCACAATAATCATCGACTCTTCTCTGCTTTTTCCTCCCAACCTCATCTTCACGCCGATTTCACCCGCCGCGTTGATTGGATTCGGCACCTTTGTCGGAATACTGACCTCTACTCTGCAGGCACTTGGCGCAAGAGGCAGTTGCAACAACTTAACACAGCGATTCAAACAGAGCATTTCGAATTGCAACTGAGAGGCATTGATCTGCAGGCACTGCAACCAGGTATGGACCCTCTCTCTGTCCGGGGAGTGATCTATGCCATCGTTCATATCCCTTCTGGGCGTCTTTACATAGGTCAGACTATGCACTCCTCACATCAGCGTTTGCAGGAACATTGGCATGTTCGTCGTTCTGCTGCGGAGTTTCGGCGTCGCCGGCTCAACAGTGTCATGTCTTGTCAAAACCCCTTCAATTTTGCAGACTGGCCCTTGGAACGTATTGAACCGGCCCTTTACCATACACCGCAAGGTCTTGTTGACCGTAACCTTTTTTTTGACAGGCTGCTACGACACGGGAAGCCTATTGGGTGCGCCGGCTGCAGACTCCTCATCCAACTGGTCTCAGCGCTGTCTTGCCGCTTGCTCACCTGCCTGCAAGAAGACGACAACGTCGTCCTCATCGATGGACACAGACAGGCCCTCGTCCGTCAGACCATCAACAGCCCCAGCCTATTGATTTGCGTTCATGCCCCGATTGGACTTGTCCGGTCTGCATTGCACAATCTTCTTTCACAGGCTGCTGCTGGCAATTCGCAACAGATGGAATCTATCATCCAGCGAGCAACATCAGTTTGGCGTGCCCACTTGCTGCAGTGGTTGAGCAATAATATCTCCAATGGAGATATGACTGCGCATATCCGTCAGCTTGAATGCCTGATTCGGAAGCATCAACATGTCCACCAGCGATACACAGCTCAGTCTCGAGATGCCTTCCTTGATCATATTAAAGTTGTGCACATCAGGTAACGGGGTTGCGACAAAACTTGTGCACATCAGGTAACGGGGTTGCGACAAGCCCTGCATGCACCCGAGGTGCTCCACTTGCACCCTGACCCTGATGCCGCAGCACGCCTGCGTATCTGTGATAAGTTGTTGCGCCAACTCGCGTCCAATTCTCTAATTTCACGGAAGTTGCGCTCAATGTCACACCTAGGATCTCCCTGTCTGACCCCTCGGACTGTCAATGTCGGAAAGTGTTTCCTGACTGCTCACACTTAGTCGACGGCCATGTTGTTGCAGCCGACTGCGGCATCATTCCTAATGATCGCCACCGCGACTTGTTCCATGAAGGCTCGAAGTATCGTCTTAATGGACAAATCGCTGATGTGCTGCAGGCTGTTAGAGTCGTCCTTGACGAGTATATTGCTAAATACCTGAGGTCGGTCTCCGTCAGCTTCGGCCGACCGCTCTGAACAAATTGCAGCAGTGGCGCTCAGCCGTTCTCACACGCTGCACCGACCTCCCCACAAACCCTTGGTCGGTACTACCGTCGCTTCTGCCCACCTCAGCGTTGCACTACAAGGAGTCATTGAAACTCTTCGTGAGAAGGATAATCTGTTGTATCAGCAAAGCAGTGTGAGACGGTGCTGGATCGTGCAAAGCGCTGAGGAGGTGATGCTTGATCTTAAACGTAATTCATCTTCTCTTTGTGACCATGCTCCTCGCACTGTTGATTTCACAACTATGTATACCAATCTCCCTCATGACCATATTTGTCATAATGTATCAAAAGTGGTTGAGGAAGCCTATACATATGCCTTACAACATCACACACAGGGGCGCTGACCATGCTTCTCTTTGTGACCATGCTCCTCGCATGATTGTTAAAGGGCCCTGTCAAGGGGAGTGAGCGGTTCATACGGGACCAAACACCCTGACCGTTTCCCAAATTCTTGAACATCTCCATTTCATTATCACAAACATGTATCTCTATGCAGCGGACGGCACCTTGCGACATCAGCTGATTGGCATCCCGATCCGGACTAATTCTGGCCCAGCGATAGCTTTGTTGATGACCTCCAACAGCGTGATCTTCGCGCAGCTCAACAGTATGCGTTCACATACCGCTTGATCGATGATGTTCTCTAATGGGGACATTTGCCACCACCATCAGAGCACTACAGCCTCAAATGGAAGGAGACCACAACGCCTGATGGCTCTTGCATATTCTCGGGTGCACGCCTCCAAGTCCGCCTTGACGGTTCTCTGCGTATGAGTGTCTTTGACAAAGCAGCTGACTGGAATTTCCCTATTATTCGTTATCCTAGTGCTACGTCCAATGTCTCTGCACACCAGCCGCCGGGAGTGTTTACAGGCCAGCTTACTAGGTTTGAGCATGCCTGCAACAACTGGTATGATTTCAAAATGCATCAGCGATGCTCACACGCCTCGTGCTTTTTCGCGGGCACTCTCCAACAACGCTTGCGAAAGGATGGACTTCCTATATTCATAAACGTCAACACAGGTACCTTGCGCACGTGACCCACCTCTCCAACTGGTTCCGCAGCATGCTTCGATGGTCTATTCACTACCCGCTTTTTCGGGTATCCACACATTGTCCTCGGATTACGCTTACACAACCCCTTCTTCATTACCGACGCCTGTCACACCTATCACAACCTCTTCTTCATTACCTGCGTCTGTCGCACCTGCGTCCTCATCAGTCTTAGTAACCCCTTCCATGTCATTTATGACCCTGAATGCCCCTTTTCGGTTCGCAGCCTCCTCCTCATCGGCGTTGGTTGCTTTTACGATCGATTCCGCGGGAGCTCGACCTGCAGTTGTTGTGTCGCCATTGGTCTCGATGTGTTCCTCAATGGCATCCGTGGCCATGCCTGCATTACCACCTACAGAGTCACCTCTTCGGGTCTCATCTACGACTGCCCCCCATGTCTCTGCGTCAGCCACTTCACCACCCCTGACTTCATCACCCCCGTCTTCACCGCCTTTATTTCCCCTAGTTTTATCTTCGTTTTTTACCCACCTTCCGACTACTCTACCACCCCTGTCTTCACCACTCCTACATCCCCTGGTTTTGTCTCCATCCCTTAACCCTCTTCCTATTCCACAAACCAATTTGTCCACACAAACTTCGTCATCTTGTTTTGCCCCTGCAGAAAGCCTACTTCGCCGTCCTAGACGCCGGCTTCGGCCTACTCCCCGACCTCAACTTACTCCTCTTTCCTCCATCTTTGTTCTTGGACGAAGAAGAACCTGTTCATTCTCCCCACCACGGCCCTCCCCAACATCCCGTTCCCGTCTTTGCCGCCCCAAGCATCCATACCACGCCTGCGACGCTCTTCAACTGCAGACCTTTCTGCAACGCGGCAAACACAAAATAGGAGGGATGATTGTAAGCAACCATCCGAGGATGAACTTGGCAAGGGGACTGTAGGAGATGCTGTAGAAAATCCGCTCGACCGGCCTCCACCGAATCTGTGTGGCCTCGGTGCTACTAACATCTGCCTACAAGCCTATCGTCGAGAACCATATACTCACTCTGATTTCTTGGCCATTGCTTCCGATCTTGATGCCCAGGAACGTGAGTTATATGGCGATAACCCGACTCTGCATCCCCCACAGGATAGTAATTACATTCAACATGGGGGATTCAATGTCTTTGTTTTGGAGACTTCTTTGATAAGGCGCTGGCTTGATATGCAGAGTGCCCCTTCGGGTGGCGACCCGGACCACTGTTCGCACGTTTGTGCCTATATTCTACATACTCCTGGCCACTACACCACTCTTGTTCGTGCCTCTGGTTCTTGAGAATTATGGAATGGTGGTGCTGTGGTGCAAACTATTACTGCCAGCTGTGATCTCGTGCGTAATTACCCTAACCTGCAACTGTTCCAGGTCATTGACTCGATGGGTACGCCGTGTACTTCCATGCCTGCCTCTACACCTATCTTTGTGCCTGCCTTCGTACCTGTCTCTGTGCCTGTTTCTGTGTCTGTCTCCTTCCAGGTTACTGACCCTATGGGTACCTCGTGTACTTCCGTCCCTGGCTCTGTGCCTACCTCCGCACCTGTCTCCGTGCCCGTTTCTGCGTCTCTCTCCGTGCTTGCTTTAGTCTTCATGCCCCCACATGCTGCACTAACACCTTATGACCTCCTTTGTGAGATCACTGACAGAGTTACACTTGGTTGTGGAAAGCATCGACTTTGTCGACATCACTACAACCGTATAATTTTTCGGGCCCGCTGGCAGGGATGCCACCTTTATCCAAATTGTGAACATCCTCTGCATCCAGATGCAGTATGTCCCATCTGTGCCTACGGGCGCTATAGCGAACGTGCACTTACCTGTGATGGTGAACGCCCCACAATCGTCATGGCCTGCAACCGGCATGCCCTCTGTCGTGCATGCTTCAGAGGTATGGTTGATGCTAGTCGTCTTGGCCCCTACTGTGACGAAGTTGCTTACCTCGATGGTTTTCGTCCTATAGATCAGCAAGAGGGCTGCTACCATCACCCGCATCCTTCTGATAGTTTTCCTATCTGTCCTGAGGGTCTTACCTAGACGTACCGTGCACCCTGACAAAAATGTGCAGGTGCGCTGAAAAGAGTGTACAAGAATGTGCAAAGGTGGGAAACCCTTCACTAAAACTGCAAAACAGTGAAGAATGTAGTAACAGAAGGACATAAGTTTGTGCCATTTTACTTTGTTTGCACCCTAACACCCTCAAAGAAAAAGTCCGAAGGGTGAAAACGAGAATAAAAAGTGAAGAAGTGCAGGTGTGTTGAAAAGCGAACGTGGTAGACTCTTCACCAAAACTGCAAAATTGTGAAAGAAAGAAGAATATAGTAAAAGAAAGAAGATGTTTGTGTTTCTTTTTTATTTTTATTTTTTCTCCCTCTGCCTATCGATTTTCCTTTTCTGCTCCTCTCTTCTTTGTGTTTGACACCTCTTCCTTCACTCTGCCTCTTTCCCATAGCGTGCAAGTGGGCTGTTATGGCATACGGGGATGGGGGCAGCTCGCACTCAACTTCAGCAACGTGGCGAGCCTAGTACGTTAGAGGCACGGTGGAGGAGTTAAGAAGACTGAGAAATTGAATGATTTCAATGTGTCTTTGTTTATTATTTTTTTCGTTTGTTCAGTGTAAAATTTTTTGGTAAAACATTGAAAGTAATAAGAATACGGTGAAACATCTACTTTGTTTGTCTCTTTGCCTGTCCGTCCTTTCATTTTTCTTCTCTTCGCCCATCTTATTTTTTTTCCTACTTCACGTGCTTACGCTCTTAGTTTATTGACTAAGAGCGTAAGCACGTGAAGTAGGAAAAAAAATAAGATGGGCGAAGAGAAGAAAAATGAAAGGACGGACAGGCAAAGAAATAGACAAACCAGAATGACACAAAACAGTGTCCTCTTAATCTTTGTTTCACAGTATTATTATTTCTTTCAGTTTTTTACAAAAAAAAATTACACTGAATCAAAGGACAAAAATAAAAAACAAAGGCACATTGAAATCATTCAGTTTCTCAATTTTCTTAACGCCGCCTCCATTGTGCCTCGAACATACAAGGCTCGACACGTTGATGAAGTTGAGCGCGAGCTGCCCCCATCCCCGTATGCCATAACATCCCACTTGCACGCAATGGGAAAGAGGCAAAGTGAAGGAAGAGGTGTTAAACACAAGGAAGAGAGGAGCAAAAAAGGAAAACCAATAGGCAGAGGGAGAAAAAATAAAAAATAAAAAATGTTGACACAAACATCTTCTTTCTTTTACTGCATTCTTCTTTCTTTAACAGTTTTGCAGTTTTGGTGAAGAGTCTACCACGTTCGCTTTTCAGCGCACCTGCACTTCTTCAGTTTTCATCCTCATTTTCACCCTTCGGACTTTTCTTTTGAGGGTGTTAGGGTGCAGGGTACAAACAAAGTAAAATAACACAAACTTATGTTTTTCTTTTACTGCATTCTTCACAGTTTTGCAGTTTTAGTGAAGGGTTCCCCACCTTTGCACATTCTTGTACACTCTTTTCAGCGCACCTGTACATTTTTGTCAAGGTGCAAGGTACGTCTAAGTAAGACCCTCACGACAGATAGGACAACTGTCATAAGGATGCGGGCGATGGTAGCAGCCCTCCCGCTGATCTATAGGACGGAAACCATTCAGGTAAGCAACTTTGTCACAGTAGGAGTCAGGGCGGCTAGCATTAACCATACCTCTGAAGCATGCACGACAGAGGGCATGTCAGTTGCAGGGCATGACGATTGTGGGGTGTTCGCCATCACAGTTAAGTGCACATTCGCTATAGCGCCTGCAGGCACAGATGGGACATACTGCACCTGGATGTAAAGGATGTTCACAATCCGGCATCCCTGCCGACAGCGGGCCCGAAAAATTATACGGTTGTAGTGATGTCGACAAAGTCGATGCTTTCCACAACCAAGTGTAATTGTGTCAGTGATCTCACAAAGAAGGTCACACTGCCTCCTTCTAGATTACTGACTCTATGGGTACCACATGTACTTTCGTCCCTGCCTCTGCACCTGGCTCTGTGCCTGCCTCCACACCTGTCTCCATGCCCATGTCTGTGTCTGTCTCCGTGCCTACCTCCATGTCTGTCACCGTGCCTGCTTTAGTCTTCATTCCCCCACACGTTGCACTAACACATTGTGACCTCCTTCTTTGTGAGATCACTGACACAGTTACACTTGGTTGTGGAAAGCATCGACTTTGTCGACATCACTACATATATATATCGTCAAATCTGAAATGGCAACGGCCTTGAGATATCATCTAGGAGAGCAGCCCGAGGTAATTCATAATTGTTTTATTTCATTTATCTAGCTCCATATGATTCGAACGCATCTGTATTTCAACAGTTCAAGGGTGTACGAACAGAGTTGGGCCCATCGGTGCCACGATATTTTAAATTGATCAAGCCATCCGCCAAGATTGTGAACGCAGTTGGACAACGCCGATGACCAGATCCGTTCAAAATGTCGTCAGATGGCGATGGACCAACTAGGCCCTAATTAAAAAGCGAGAAGAAAGACTAGAACACCAGGCCCGTTGAGTTCAGAAATCCCGCCACTAACCCTGTTAGCATCGATTGAGACTGCCCAGATGGTCAGGTGCACGATCTCTATCTACATAGAGCGGACATCCACATACATCCCCCTGGAATCCTGGCAAGGCTAAAGCAAAGATTTTGTAAAGCCTACCGTGCTAGGTTGCAGCTTTTCTCTAGCTCTCTGTTGGGGGGGGGGGGGGGGTGAAATTTAGGCAACGACAACTACACCCGCGATCAAGGAGGCATAGAACCGATAGAGAAGAAAAGGAAAGAGAGGCAAGGAGAGGGGGAGAGGGGGAGAAGGGAGAGGTGGAGAAAAGAGGTGGAGAATGGAGAAGTGGAGAAGGGAGAGGTGGAGACGGGGGAGGTGAAGGAGGGGGAAGGGAGAGGGGAAGAGGAGTAGAGAGAAGAGAAGAAACGAAGAAGAGAGGCGCAGACGAGCAAGAAGCCTAGAGTACAACTTCCTGCGGGCTGAATGTACACCCGCGATCAAGGAGGGATAGAACCGATAGAGAAGAGAAGGAAACAGAGGCAAGGAGAGGGGGAGAGGGGGAGAGGGGGAGAAGGGAGAGGTCGAGAAAGGAGAGGTGGAGAAAAGAGAGGTGGAGAATGGAGAAGTGAAGAAGGGAGAGTTGGAGACGGGGGAGGTGAAGGAGGGGGAAGGGAGAGGGGAAGAGCAGTAGAGAGAGAAGAGAAGAAACGAAGAAGAGAGGCGCAGACGAGCAAGAAGCCAGAGTATAACTTCCTGTGGGCTGGATGTACACCCATATAACTGTCAATAAACAAATCAATAGTTCAAATCCCTGATGGATAAGAAACGATAGGGACCACCCCCTTTGGAAAAGAGAACAAAAGAGAACAAAAGAAAACAAAAGCGAACGAAAGAGCACAAAAGGAAATAAGAGGGAATAAAAAGAACACACAAGAGAACAAAAAAGAACAAAAGAAAACAAAAGAAAACAAAAGAGAACGAAAGAGCACAAAAGAGAACGAAAGACAAGGAAAGAGCACAAGAGGAAAGAAAGATGAAAGACAAGAGAAAATAGAAAAGGGAGAGGAGAGGAAAGAAGAGGGATAGGGACAGACTCGTGTTAGGTACTTGTGCTCCTCGTGCGTCGGGAGGGACGTTATTAAACACTCCCTCATGAACAATTCGCATTCGCAACAGAAGAGAAGAGGAGAGAAGAGAGTACTTTGGTCACCATTTTCCCCGTAATTGAAGCCTAGCCTAGGCTACCAGAGTGGCCCGGGTCCACTTGCCCAGCTGGGCCAAAACGAAATAGAAAATAAAAAAATAAAAATTGTTTTTTAATTTAATTTTCATTTTAAATTTGGTAAAGAATTTCGATGTGACCCTGAGGCAAAAGTTGTTCAGTTTATTTTTCTTCATAACATAGTTTTTTTCCAGATTTTTTTTTTTTTGGCTGGGACCTTCCCTAGTCCTTGCACGGCCAGGCCGCACGGGAAAATAGGGTGACCCGGGCGGCCCGGCTGGTAGCCTAGAGCCTAGCTATTATTATTACAAGTTTATTGACGTATCAGAGGCATGTTTCCGGCCAGATGCAATTGGGATCATGACGTCCATAGTAAGAAACAACAACAACAACAACAACAACAACAACAACAAAAATCCTTTCAAAACAAAGGATTAATAAAAACAATAAATCCCCCTTTCTTCTGCAACATCTTCATCATCACCATTCCTGTCGAAGAAAGAAACGGATGTCTCCCTCTCAACGTCTATCGTAATAAACAAAGCATTTGAGATCCTTTGGCCCACATGCTGGAGTGGCAAAAATGAGAAATGTGACAAATTTGGGCGGCATTTATTTCATGGTCTAAAAGATTTGTTTTTATTTTTCTGATATTTTTCCCGTTAAGATCACGACCTAATCTACAGGATCTCAAATTTTCAGATTTTTCCCTTATTTTTCTGAGCGCGAAAAATCACCAAAGTTGGCAAGTGAAAATTGTGGGACTAGACCCGCCTGCTTCTCCTGGTCGGCGCCCCCCCTAAAGACCCTCTCCGAACTGACCACAATGCCACTTTTCGGTGGCAGGTAGAGTGGTGGTTTAATTACTACACATCGCCACATTCTTTCCTTGTATCAATTGCTCTGACTCCCATTACAAACAATAACGATTTCGCCTCTCTCTCTCTCTCTCTCTCTCTCTCTCTCTCTCTCTCTCTCTCAGCATCTAACTTCTTTCTTAACTTCTCGATAAGCATTACAGAGGGGAAATGCGCAAGCAATACAGAAATCACTACACGTACTCTATGATAGGTAAGTCCTCTACGTATAGTGCACGTTTTTCAAGGGTTTTGAAGAATCTCAAAGACGTTCGTTTTCTCTGTTTTTGTCCCGTGTGTGCGATGATGATGTGCGTGCGTGTGTTTTAATGATCGCTATACATACATCGAGAAAAGAAGCACGACTGTGCCAGACTGTCTTGTCAGAGTTTCACGGGCTCCTCA